CCCGTGGAGACGACTGCATTTACACCGTAACGTAACAGATTGTTGATTTAACTGCCTAAAAACCAACATTAGGTTTTGGTTTTTAGGAAGTTAAATCAACAATCAACAATAAGCATTCATACGTACTTATAGGTAAGAAGTCGGTCCACAAGATTTAAACAAAAATTATTCTTTAAACCCGTAACAAACACCTTATATTAACCTTTCAAAGTTCTTTGTTTAATTTTATGACAGATTTTAACTATGGCCATTAACCTAAGTTACATTTTGTTATCAGCTTATGACCATCCCGAGATATGACCACCTGGAAATGAAACCACCCCGAGAGTATGATCTTTCCAACAAAAAAAGAATTATCAAAATCCGTTCACAAACGCCAGAGAAATCGGGTAACATACACACACACAAAAAGAAAAACGTACACCCGAATTGATAACCTCGTCCTTTTTGGTAAATCGGTTTAAAATAAATAAAATGAAAGAAGCTTTTATTGCTGAAGTTACAATTAACAATATGTATACTATGATAAACTAGAAATAAGTAGAAGGTCTTTAAATCATCAACAAGAAATGAAAAACAATTAACAAACCTCGCTAATAGTCCTTATCGCACTAACCAATCAAATATACTTAAATAAAAACAAACAGTCCAGCTTTAAAAAATAATATTTTTGCCCCACATTGTATTAAATTAACACACAACGGGAATCTAGCTAGTATTAATCTAACTGGCTTGAATTAAGCCGTAGCGCTGCAGTTCTAGCATTTCTCAGAACAGAACAATTTGTATCCATTACCTACTAAAGTCTACAGTCTACATGGAATGTCGTAATGTCTCAAGAAAGACGATTAACATTTAATTGCTTAATACTAGCAGTTAGTCGATAATATCTTGTGTCGTGATGAAAGGGATGAATTACAAATGATTTGTTAACGTAATTAGAATTTGATTCGTGTTTTTATGCTTTCTTTAGTTAAAATTCGAGTGATGTTTGTTTTAGCATTGAATGTTGAAAATGATTAGTACATAAATCCACAAGGATGATATTCAGAAAGCAAAACAACACAAATGTTCACATTTTATCTAATAGGTACTAGTTTTTACCCGCGGCTTCGCTCGCGTCACGAAAGAATAAAAAGTAGCCTATGTGACATATACCAATACACACAGCGCCATCTATACCAATACTTTTGTTTTTCCTCGGGAATATCAATTATTTGCGGGTTAAAAAGTACCCTATTATTTAATCCGGACTTCTAACTTTACGTCTGCAAAAATTCAAAGCAATCGGTCTAGTAGTTACGGCGTGAAGGTGGAACAAACAAAAAACAAACAAACAAACGCACTTTAAGATTTATAATATTAGTAAGGATATCAAATTCTCGTGTCACAGTTTTCGTTGCAAACTCCTCCGAAACGGCTTGGCCGACCGACCGATGAAATTTTTTGTGCTTATCCGGTATCTATGAGAATCGGCCAACATCTATTTTTCATACCCCTAATTTTTTTTTATTTTATAGACAAAATTTTTAATTTCAATTTTTTTATTATACAACATACAAAAATACATACAATCCTCAATTTTCAAATTCTTATAGTGCAAAACAACGTTTGCCGGTTCAGCTATTGTAATGGTAAATTCGTACAATAATTCGTCCTCACGTTTTTGAGTTTATCGCGTTCAAGCGTAGGCTACACCGTTAGCTAGCGGGCGGGCGGGATAGGCGGGCGAACATCTCACTCATTTATTTCCATTTCAGCTTCGGTGTGCACGGCACCCTATCTCGTCGCTTCCTGCAACTCCCACCTCGTCTTCCGCTGCACACTTCGCGCACACTCCCAGCTTTGTGTACAACTACATGTGCGATATGCAAGCAAACGTTACCATTGCGAAGCGCTGCCGCCTTGCTCGTCTCAATACCTGTGACGTCACGTATATGAGTTTTAGAACTCTCTGGGTATTGGAATCTGAAGTTGTGGAATATATTTGTTTAATTGACATTTATAATTTCTATACACATAACTATATAGCGTATTTTTTTAATGGGGGAAAATCGTCTAATTACTGCTCCCGCCTGGGTGAGGCGGGAGGGGAGGAGGAGGTGCTGTTGGGCATCCGTGGTGGTCTGATGGCTGTTTGAGGCGCGCGCGGAACGCGACGCCCCGTACGCTCTGGTCTGTTTCTGGTCGGACGGGGAGCCACCCATGCTCGCCGTCCGCAGGCCCGCACTTACGGTGGCCGGAGATCGTACCTATATAGCGTATGGCATAGTTAATTTGTAATTAATACTCCTTTGAATGACTACTTCATGGCTGGTTGACTTGCTTCGCAGGTTTATTTACTACTGTGACTGTTTCTAGCCGACCCTAGGCTGGATAAAATTTGAGTTTTCCTGAATCAAGGAGGGGTTTATATCGGCTTACCGATATAAACGCTTCTTACCTTGTCGTAACATCTGATGGAAAATAAAGACTTTCTTAGTTTTTGTTAATAATTGCAAAAAGTACATGAATGACCTATCATAATCATTATAGTTTTAAGATTGCCAGATGTTGATTCTTAACTTACTTGTCGTTATGGAATCCTTTGTTCCACATAAAAATTGTTGTCTATTTTCAACAGTGGCGTGCAGTCCATATAGGCAAATAGGCTTTGCTTGACATAAAATGTACTAACGCGTTTATTAAGATTCAATAATATAATAAAAGTTTGTAAAAAAACGGCTAACATAAATATACATTCACATATACTATACACGGACCGCACGCCTTTGTAAAGCAATGAATGCGCGCCGCACGCACCACGCATGCGCTGCTATTCCTTAAATCTTGGTTGTTGGTCGTGACGTCACAAAAAGTATGCAACGCGCATGCGTGAAGGTCACGTGACTATGGTCACAGCACAGAATAACCATTCATAAACGCAAAAAATTATTACACGATTCAATCTAGCCGGACTTTTTGAAATTTGTGAATCTGCGCCATCTATTGAATTTTTTGTTAAAACTTCTGAACGCGTTTGATATAATGCGAATGTCTTTTTATAATTATGCATACTAAAAAAATACGTTTCAGGTGTTTTAATTAAATCCTAACATTTTTACGCGTTGTCGCTTTATAGAAACTTTAAACGAGGAGTTGACTTTATTATTTTAAAAGTTAAAAGGAAGTTATCGAAACGTCAAGTTGCCGCTACTCAAAGTTTCAAATTATTATCAACGAATGTTTCTTATTGGAAAATAATAATAAGACAATGATGCAATTCCATTTGACTTATGTAAATTAACGTTTTGTTTTTTTATAATTAAACACTGGGTTGCCTTAATATTTTAGCTATAATTTTTTTATAATAAACACTCAATTGACCACGATGGGTAATGACTTTCCAATGTTTTCGGCCATATTGTTTTCATGTGATGTGCGATCGCTTTGTTTATGTTTTCGTTTAAATTATAAGGAATTAGTTTTAAACATAAAGTTGCATAAATATGTGTAGAAGTAGTAAAATATATGTGTCGGTTTTTCAAATAGTGTATTTGTTTATCAGTGTCTAGTATATTATTCGATTGTGAAGTTTGTGTTGATAATAGGTAATTTTTTGTGTTTGTTTAAAGTTAAAAACAGTAAGTTTTCGCAAAAATGTGTCCTATAACGACTAGATTCAGGTAGTCATTACCTGAACTCATAGACAGAACTCAAGTTACGAGAATTGACCCAAGTCAAAGGTAGGTAATGTAAATATGTACCTAGGTACTAAAATGGATCTTTTATATGATGTTCTTATTTATTGATTGATAATTCTTAAAAATATCAACTTATACCTCGGGTTGTTTTGATTTACATATTAATTTATTATTAATAATTATGTAATGTAATAACAAATGTACCGCTTAAACTCGGCTCGGCCACAGCCGGCCGCGCTTGTTGTTGTTTTGTTTGTTGGTAGGTACCTACGTTCTTAAATTCGTAATTACCTTATGATTTTGAATAGATTATTTAGCAATTTGATAATTGAATTTGGTTCATCAAATTTATGATTCATTATTAGTATAATAAATAGATGCTTCTTTATTTGTAAGTTTTGTTGGCTTATTCGATAGCTGATGAAGTACTTTACAAAAAATACGCGAGATGTCAGTGTATGTAATTTGGCGAAAGAATAAACCACAATATTCTTGAACGCACTTTTCAAAATGTATTCTGTACATGTACCTGTCTTGTGGGAGTATGATTGTATGACCGGGGGGAGGGCTTTAATCATACGATATTTAGTTGCCTACCCTGTCTCGAATATCTGTGCACGCCACTGATTTTCAATGTAGTTTATAACCTAACATTTACGTAAAAATACCTTTACGACTTTCTTAGCTTTTGTTTAAATATGCAAAAAAGGCATGAATGACCATAACAGATGTGAATGACCATGACATTGCCAGATGTTGATTCACAATTTACTTACGCCGTTATGGGACCCTTTGTTCTGTGTGAAATGGTTGTCTTTAATACTTTCAAATTTTTATCATCAATCATTTATGTAATAATAGGTAATAGTAGAAAAGAAAGAAAATATTATTCTATTATGTCACTATTATAAAAAGTTATTGTCGTGTTTGAGAAACCATTTTATCATCAAATTAACCGAAAGTTAGCCTAACATATACTTACTTACAAAACAGCCTGTCATATAATCCTATTCACTAGTTTATTAAACAGTGTTTCACCCACATAGTGAGCACATCTGGCCATCTGTAATACACAAAATAAGAATGCCTTAAAATATTATTATTAAAATATTTTCTCTAGTTAAATTAAACAGCAACCCATTCATATTAATATATTAATAATTATAGATATAAACTATAGTAATTAACAATAATGAACAATTATACTTAATTATACTATGAACTAACATCTTAAAAATAAGGAAATTTAAACTAAATATAAAACATAGATAACACCTAAACAAAAATTAGAAATAAAATAAAATAAAAAATCAAAAACTAAATAAAATAATTTAGCGTATGTCCTGCCTCACACAGGCCACATTCACATTTGCATCGGGGGCCAGGGAGGCCTGGAGAAGGAGGAGGTGCTGGTGGTGCCTCCGGCGAATGAGGAGGTGCTGGCGGTGTCTCCGGCGAAGGTGGAGGTGCTGGACTCGACGACTTTGGAGACAGCCGCCGTGGCTGTGACGTGAGTGTGGTAGCTCTAGTGCGACAACGACATCGCAGAGCCGACATCCGCATATATATAGGCGGTGATGGCGATGTCTCGGGCGACCGCCGTCGCCAACGCCGTGGTGGCGATGACACCCGCATAGGCGGTGATGGCGATGTCTCGGATGACCGCCGTCGCCAACACGGTGATGGCGATGACACCCGCATGCCGCGGTGATGGCAATGTCTCGGGCGACCGCTGTCGCCAACGCGGCGATTGACATCGATGACGTCGACCCGCCGGACACAGCGGCGGCGATGGCGACGATTGGAAGACGGAGGATGAGGTGGACGGTCGACGTCTACAAACGCATCGTCGTCCACACCTGTGAGACCTTCGCGATGGTTCGGGGCGGCGGCGTGAATCCGACGGCACTGTCCTCGAAGGGCCGGTACCGAAGCAGCACCACCTTTAAACAATACCACAAGTTAATTCGATTTTTTATTGAATATGAACTTTTTTTAAAAATATTTGTAAGTTGGTAAATAAGTGTTCATTACTAAATGATTTAGAATTTAACGTATAAATATTAATTTACGTTTAAATATAATTTTTAATATGTAATTGCATTGTGAAATCTTTTCCTACGTTTTTTTATGTTGCTCAAATGTTTCCTATGTTTTTTTATGTTAACAAGCAGGGTCTGGATCGTATTCGATATGTGGCAATGGTTCGTTCGCTAAAGTGTGAAAGGGTGAATAGAGGTTTATATTGTGCAACTCTGTCGATCCCTTCTAGAAATAATGGCGTGGTCGTGATAAAATGATTTTGTTTGTTACTAGTATACGATGTTAAGCTGCAACTATTAACGAATTAATGTTAATTTACTAAATACTGACCAATATCAAAATTCTGAATCTGTCACGGCACGCACGGCACCACATGTGACTGTTTCTAGCCGACCCTAGGCTGGATAAAATTTGAGTTTTCCTAAATCAAGGAGTGGTTTATATCGGCTTACCCTTTCGTGGGAAATGGGCAAGGAACTGGGCTCCTCCTCCGCCCAGCTCTGTAGAGCTCGTCCATCTACTGGTCACTCTCCCACCGATTTCACGGGATGGGTAATGAATTCCCAATAAATAACATAACTTGTTTTATTGATTCATTCATTATGTTATTTATATTATTAAAAGCAAATACAAAGGATCAAGCGGGAATTCACGGGGAAAGGATATATTCTAAATTATTTACATTACTAGTGAAATAAGAGGGCAGCAAAGGGAAAGGGAAGGCAGTGCACTCACAGGAGCACACTCCGGACATGCAAAGGAATAATACCAACAACTGATGATCTTGCGTATGTACCTACTCAACCCATTCCCCATTTCTAAACGAGTGTCTCGCTCACCATAATATATGTCGTCGAAGAGTTTAGATATAGCATGGCCATTACGGCGTTGTTAGGTTAAGACGAGGCACTTATATATTCACCCTACCGTCCTTCACGGACTAGCCTAAGCATAGCTTATTTTAAGCAAAACCCGGGAGTGCGCATACAACAAGCTGATACAATGGAAAGTAATATTCCGATTCAGTTAAAAGGGATAAAGACAGAGATAAAACCCTAGCCTATAATAAAACCACAATCACATACCCGTTCACTGCTCTCACGCCGCTACTCACCAGACTTCCACACTACACACTGAATTTACTTTGTGTTGCCAAATCCTAAGGATCAGTTCTAGTCTATCCTAGACAACCTTCCGTCTCCGCAGTCCAAGAGTAAGTGTCCTATCGTTTCCATAACATTTGTAACATCTCCTCGCCAAAGGCCCTTTCCCAGGCCCCTGCAGTCCGGGTTTTATGACACCTTTTGTGCAATATCTTAATTGTTTCTAGGGACCTTTCGTAGGTCAGTATTATTGCAACCAGATGTGGCGTTTGGTATTGTGTTGTGTGCCTAACGGCTCCACGTATTCTTAAAGATCATTTAACAAGTTACAACTCAATTGCCCATTAGTTATTTCTAAACGGGTTCCCATAAAATATACAATGTAAGACCTAGCACGTGGTTCATTGGAAAGTCGATATTCTAAAACATAGGGATGCCTTTTGTTTATATTTTTAGGAGTACCTGACGGACAGTCACACTACTTATGCCATCCAATACCGGGTTTGCTATTCTATTTGCTCACGTTACAGTAGAATGTTGTGAATACACATACGATAAGCAAGTTTCACGAATATCATAAGCCAAATATTGTGCTGTGTAAAATAAATTTAATGTCAGTTAACATAACGTAATGTTATGTTATCACACCAGTATGACAAACAGGATTTTTTTTCTCGTTTGTCACACCACTTATTTTTCTACACTATGTATACGATAATTACTAGTGCAGTACCTTTACATTCCAATAAAGTCGATCGTCGTTTGCCGTCTTTCGTTCTTTGGCGAGTTTTCAATATTTTCTACTTTTAATTAATAAATAGGTAACATAACATAACATCACGCCTTTTATCCCAAAGGGGTATGCAGAGGTGCCCATTGCGGCACTTAATGCCACTATACAATGTAACACCTACTTGTTCACTATTATTATGAGTCCCATGTAATAGGGCCTATTGCTATATACCGGGCACATGTCCAGACTCCGTGCTACTACTGAGATTTTTAAAAACCCAGTAATACTTAGCCCGACCCGGGAACCGAACCCGAGACCCCTTGCCCGTCGCACTTGCGACCACTCGGCCAACGAGGCCGTCTAAATAAATAGGTACTAAAGCTCTGTGTGGATGTCCAGTGGTTCATATGATAATGCAACCTTATCTAGTAGGTACTGGCCGGTTGTAAATGCAATGTTTGAGTTAATGATCGAGGACGCTCGATAGTTTTCGAGGATACTCGAAGGTGATCGAGGACGCTCGAAAGTGATCAAGGACGCTCGATAGTTTTAGAGGATACTCGAAAGTGATCGAGGACGCTCAAAAGTGATCGAGGATGCTCGATAGATTTCGAGGACACTCGAAAGTGATCGAGGACGCTCGATCGATTTCGAGGACGCTCGCTAGATTTCGAGGACGCTCGATCGATTTCGAGGACGCTCGATAGATTTCGAGGACGCTCGATAGTTTTCGAGGACGCTCAAAAGTGATCGAGGACGCTCGATAGATTTCGAGGACCCTCGATAGATTTCGAGGACGCTCGATAGATTTCGAGGACGCTCGATAGTTTTCGAGGACGCTCGAAAGTGATCGAGGACGCTCGATGGATTTCGAGGACGCTCGAAAGTGATCGAGGACGCTCGATAGATTTCGAGGACGCTCGATAGTTTTCGAGGACGCTCGAAAGTGATCGAGGACGCTCGATAGATTTCGAGGACGCTCGATAGTTTTCGAGGACGCTCAAAAGTGATCGAGGACGCTCGAAAGTGATCGAGGACGCTCGATAGATTTCGAGGACGCTCGATAGTTTTCGAGGACGCTCGAAAGTGATCGAGGACGCTCGAAAGTGATCGAGGACGCTCGATAGATTTCGAGGACGCTCGATAGATTTCGAGGACGCTCGAAAGTGATCGAGGACGCTCGATCGATTTCTAGGACGCTCGATAGTTTTCGAGGACGCTCGATAGTTTTCGAGGACGCTCGATAGTTTTCGAGGATACTCAAAAGTGATCGAGGACGCTCGATAGATTTCGAGGACGCTCGATAGATTTCGAGGACGCTCGAAAGTGATCGAGGACGCTCGATCGATTTCTAGGACGCTCGATAGTTTTCGAGGACGCTCGATAGTTTTCGAGGACGCTCGATAGTTTTCGAGGATACTCAAAAGTGATCGAGGACGCTCGATAGATTTCGAGGACGCTCGAAAGTGATCGAGGACGCTCGATAGATTTCGAGGACGCTCGATAGTTTTCGAGGACGCTCGAAAGTGATCGAGGACGCTCGATAGATTTCGAGGACGCTCGATAGTTTTCGAGGACGCTCAAAAGTGATCGAGGACGCTCGATAGATTTCGAGGACGCTCGATAGTTTTCGAGGACGCTCGAAAGTGATCGAGGACGCTCGATAGATTTCGAGGACGCTCGATAGTTTTCGAGGACGCTCGAAAGTGATCGAGGACGCTCGATAGATTTTGAGGACGCTCGAAAGTGATCGAGGACGCTCGATAGATTTCGAGGACGCTCGATAGATTTCGAGGACGCTCGAAAGTGATCGAGGACGCTCGATCGATTTCTAGGACGCTCGATAGTTTTCGAGGACGCTCGATAGTTTTCGAGGATACTCAAAAGTGATCGAGGACGCTCGATAGATTTCGAGGACGCTCGATAGATTTCGAGGACGCTCGATAGTTTTCGAGGACGCTCGAAAGTGATCGAGGACGCTCGATAGATTTCGAGGACGCTCGAAATTGATCGAGGACGCTCGATAGATTTCGAGGACGCTCGATAGATTTCGAGGACGCTCGAAAGTGATCGAGGACGCTCGATAGTTTTCGAGGATACTCAAAAGTGATCGAGGACGCTCGATAGATTTCGAGGACGCTCGATAGATTTCGAGGACGCTCGAAAGTGATCGAGGACGCTCGATAGATTTCGAGGACGCTCGATAGTTTTCGAGGACGCTCGAAAGTGATCGAGGACGCTCGATAGATTTCGAGGACGCTCGATAGTTTTCGAGGACGCTCAAAAGTGATCGAGGACGCTCGATAGATTTCGAGGACGCTCGATAGTTTTCGAGGACACTCGAAAGTGATCGAGGACGCTCGATAGATTTCGAGGACGCTCGATAGTTTTCGAGGACGCTCGAAAGTGATCGAGGACGCTCGATAGATTTCGAGGACGCTCGAAAGTGATCGAGGACGCTCGATAGATTTCGAGGACGCTCGAAAGTGATCGAGGACGCTCGATCTATTTCTAGGACGCTCGATAGTTTTCGAGGACGCTCGATAGTTTTCGAGGACGCTCGATAGTTTTCGAGGATACTCAAAAGTGATCGAGGACGCTCGATAGATTTCGAGGACGCTCGATAGATTTCGAGGACGCTCGAAAGTGATCGAGGACGCTCGAAAGTGATCGAGGATGCCCGATAGATTTCGAGGATTCTCGAAAGTGATCGAGGACGCTCGAAAGTGATCGAGGACGCTCGATAGATTTCGAGGACGCTCAAAAGTGATCGAGGACGCTCGAAAGTGATCGATGATGCCCGATAGATTTCGAGGATACTCGAAAGTGATCGAGGACGCCCGATAGATTTTGAGGACGCTCGAAAGTGATCGAGGACGCTCGATCGATTTCGAGGACGCTCGATAGATTTAGAGGACGCTCGAAAGTGATCGAGGACGCCCGATAGTTTTCGAGGATACTCGAAAGTGATCGAGGACGCCTGATAGATTTCGAGGACGCTCGATAGATTTCGAGGACGCTCAAAAGTGATCGAGGACGCTCGATAGATTTCGAGGATGCTCGAAAGTGATCGAGGACGCTCAAAAGTGATCGAGGACGCTCGAAAGTGATCGAGGACGCTCGAAAGTGATCGAGGACGCCCGATAGATTTCGAGGACGCTCGAAAGTGATCGAGGACGCTCGATAGATTTCGAGGACGCCCGAAAGTGATAGATTTCGAGGACACTCGATAGTTAACTTAATTTAAAGGTTTGCAACATGTGTCGATACACTTCGCCATCTCATCTTCTGACTACGGCAGGTTGTGCTGGGGCGGCTGCCGCAAGTGCATAAACCCTCAGCGGCACAAATATAATAACCTTAACGGAAATTACATGCGCTCATCGTGTTGTTCGAGATATCAGTAAACGTTGACTCTTCGCGTGACCAGAGGGCCGGGCTTTTCTTTTGTCAACGAATCAGCATTGCCATCCAACGTGGCAATGCTGCCAGCGTTCTGGGCACCTTTTCCATTGATATAGATAGGGATGGATTCTTTTATGTAGTTTACTTTTCAAACCAATTGATTTCTCTTTTCGCCATAAACTTAATTATAATAATTGACGCCCTATGAGTTTTTTTTTTTACTAACTGTTTGTACATATTATCACTATACATAGTTAGTTTATTATTACTTTATGTTACACATTTACCTCTAATTAAATAAAGGCATCAATTTAATAAAAACTTGATAATTTGATGATTTTTAATTTAGCTCTAGGACAGCACTAGTTAAGAATAAATGGTGTAGAAAAATAAGTGGTGTGACAAACGAGAAAAAAAATCCTGTTTGTCATACTGGTGTGATAATCTGGTGTGACTACGAGTCGGTAAGGAATGTCACGCCTATTTATCCCCGAAGAGGTATGCAGAGGTTTACGTTACGGCACTTAATACCACTGTACAATATAACATCTATTTTTCACTATTTACATGTATAT